GTCGACCGTAGCGAGTCCAGAGACTTTCGCGGTTGACCGCCGCGGTCGACCGTCGCTTGTCCAGAGCAGTAGTTTAGTTTTTTGTTCTTCGCGGTCGACCACCGATATGACCGTTGGACTCCAACGGCTATTTTCTAAGCTGTTTTTCTGGGGGCTTTGTTGTCATTTTAGTGGGGTTTTTGCTGAAGTTTTGAGTGGGTATAAATACCCCATTGCCTTCAGCTCTCCATCTAAGAAAGAGAATGTTTTAAAGACTTTTAAATAGAGTTTAAGCTTGTTTAAGGGTTTGGTTTATGAAGAAAGTTTTACAAGAGCTTGAGGAGATTATCAATTATATTTTGGGCATTCAATCCATCTCTCTCTCTCTTGTCATCTAGAGAAGTTTTCCTAAACTCAACTCTAGCTTTTATTTATAATTATTTGTTGATTATCATTTCTATTAAAGCTAGTTTTATATTGAGTTTAGTTTGTTTTTGATTTCACTCATTGCGAGTGTGAGGTATAAACGTTATTCGGGTGAACGTAGAAAACTCGGTTGTGATAGTGGATTTCTCCCCGGGAGTGGGGAGCGGAGACGTAGGACGGAAGGTCCGAACTCCGTGATCATTTGATTGTGTTTGAGTGTGCTTTGGCTTTTATTTATATTTGTGCTCATTGCTCATATCGCCATTGTCTCATTATTCATATCATCCTCTATCTTGTTTCATATTGTTTTCCCTTGTGTTAGTTTATATATCCTTGCATATATATTTCATCATATAGGATATATCTCATTGTTTACATTGCTTATCCTAGCTCATATATCTTGTGGTGTTTCATACTTGCTAGGATAACTTGTTAATTAATTTTAATTGGCATATAATCGGATTAGATTAGCATAAGACCCTAATCACCCCCCCTCTAGGGTCTAACAATTGGTATCAGAGTTGGTTCAATTAAAATATGAAACAAAAATAATAAATGATAATATCTTTTGAGTATTTTATATCATATCTTAATTTTTGAGTAGAATTAGGAATTTTTATAAGGGATTTTCATGTATCATTATTAGTAGTTTTGTATGCTTATGTGATTGCTTTCATCACTTAAAAGTATACTATGTTCTAACAACAACATCTATTGAGTACAATTGGGCACGATAAAAGATCTCCTCCACCAGCAGTAGGTGCAGCAGCTAAGCTCCTCAGATCCTCCGGCTCTAGTCGTAGTATTCCATCTCCTCCTGCCTGCGTCTCTCCGCACGCGTGGCTCGAGCTGAGACATTAGAGTGATCTATCCTTTAAGAAGCAAAGCGCGCAATCTTGTTACATATGAGGAGCCAAAGACCTTTTCTTTTCGTTAAACGGTTTTTACCAGAGGTTACCCCTTCTGAGCCTCCTATCTTGTTTGCTCTCATTCAGAGAGTGATCTAGTTTATGTCTAGCATTTTCGGGGCTGCGAAACTAACCCGTGTTAAATTTATCCCAGGTGTTAATTGTGACGTTCTCAGGTTCCAGTAACACAATCTGGCGCATAAAATACCTCTGAATTTACCGCCACAACCGCCACAAAAAGTACTCATGGAACAGATCGACAGGGAATCACATGTCCTTAATTATTGCACCCTCAAAAACTTGAATTCTTTAACCCTTCCACAATCAACTCGGTACTGGAAAACTCACAATTAACAAGGGGGAGAAAACCCCAAGCAGAAACGCAGAGAAATAACCAAGAAACCTCCTCCTGTGCTCACCTCTCCGTTCTCTAGTTCCGTAAACCCCATACAAAACCAACCCACACCAAAAATGACCTCCGAAAACATTTTACACGTTATCGCTTAACAACTTACTTACTCTATATAAACACATGTACACCGCTACTCTCTCAAACAAGTAAGGAACAATTTCGATCAACATGCATCTCCCCATCATCGCCCTCCTCGTCCTCCTCGTTCCGCCGGCGTTATCAATCCCGGCGACGAACGTAGATCGAACGTCTCGACGCCAGGACAACTCCCTCCGCATTCACGGCCAAAAACGCAAAGTGTCGGCTCGCTTCGCCGCTCCGCCAGGACTTTCGCGCCACCCACGCGTCGGCTCCAGCCGCGACCTCCGCGAACTAGCACGCAAAACACACAATCCGGCTGCCCGCACCACCTAGGCCCGCGTATCCTCGAGCTCGTCGCCTCCGCCAACCGCGCCTCAGAAAGACCGCATCGCCGCCGTCTTGCTCGACGGCATCGAGCTTCTCCGCACCTCCACCCCTCTTCCCGTCTCTCCCGGGACTTTCTGGAGCGTGCATAAGGACGTCACAAGGTAACGTAAATTAATTTAGAGCCGATCAGTTTCATCCGTATCCTTATAATTAGTTTATACAACAATTCAGTTGGATGGTGCACAACAGATTGATTATGAAGATAATCATGTTGTGAGAAATTTGAGAATGAGGTCTGTTTTGGGGAAAACTGGTCTGTTTTGGGAAACAAGACCGGTTCAACTCAAAACTTGATCATGATGTGGTCTGATCTGGTTCTGAGGAGTTCGCCGAAATGGTCCTAGAATGTGTTGAGTAGATTGGACTCTCTAACATTCTCTGACAGGTACGCAGCTGCGCTCCGTAAGCTCGCCGACGAGGGCGGGGTGATCACGATGATGCTACAGAACTCCAATGAGACTCTCACTGGGGTTTACTCCGTCAATGTTACTTTGCATTTTTACCGGGGTTCGCTTGGCCGAGGGTATACGGCGTTTCCGAGTGTTAAAGGGCTGTATCGGGATCCGGCTGATTTGATCATTCCGATATCTCGGCCGAATGGATATTGTTGCGCTGAGGGATTCTGGTTTCGGGTTGACAACGGGTCGCATATCCCGGCGGCGTCAGTCGCTGTGCCGAGGAACGCTTACCGTGCTGATCTTTCTAAGCTGCAACACGAACTACTGAAAATTGTTGCCAATAATGTAAACATATTTGATATAATGGCTAAATATCCTTATTAATATTTATTGTCCTTAATTCAGAAAACAATCCTTGAAAAATCTAAACGTGCATAGGGCAACATTATTCAAAACATATCGCATGTACCTGACAACTTATTCTACTTACTGATCGATACAAAACGATGCTTTACAACAACAAACCAGAATGTTTTTTTAGAAAAAAAAAATTTGAACTTATAATTCTCAATTCTCATCGTGACTTCAGAATTTTAGCATAGTCTAATGCAACGAATAGTTCACGATACTTTGCTATAAAACCCTCCAAAATAGTGAAGAAGCATAGCACAAAAGATGTATATGATTAAAAATAGTTTGGTTTAATCCGATGTATTTACACCTAAAATTACAAAGTCACGCTTCACCATGAATTTCCTTACTAATCCCCCCAACAGGTACACAAACCCCCTCCGCGCAGAGTACGAAGCCGGCGGCCACGCCAACGGCGGATTCCGCCAAGTATACGCAACCATCGACGGCCAATTCGTCGGAGGCCACATCCCATTCCCGGTGATCTACCCGGGCTCCATCAACCCCTTCTTCTGGTCCCCTGTATCCGCCATCGGCGCGTTCGACATGCCCTCCTACGACCTTGACATAACCCCGTTCCTCGGCGCAATGCTCGACGGACAGCCCCACGAGATCGGCATCGGAGTGAAAGACGCACAGAAGTTTTGGCTGGTGACGGCCAACTTGCATGTTTGGGTCGACGTTTGGTCGGACGCAACGGAGGGGGGCTTGGTGAGCTACAGTGAGGTCGATGGGGAGGGGCTGGTGAAGTTCGTCGGGTGGGTGAAGTCGTCGAAGGGGAACTTGACGACGATGGTGAGGATGAAGATTAAGTTCAAGAATCAGGTCGAGGTTCAGAACAGGGGAGCTGTCAGGCAGGTGAGCTTAGATTAGTAACTAAATAGGTTGGTGATCGAGAATTTTAATGAAAAATATGAAGTTTCAAGAGGCCGAGATTCTCCACAATTCACCGATAAAATATCTCTTCACTCAATAGTATTAGCCCGCATTATGACTTATCGTAGGAAGAGAATCCGGACTCCAAGAGAACTGAGCTAATCCGAGTGGTGCTCTATCAACTCTTAACTAGACAAATTAACAAATATTGTTTGGGGGAGGTTAGATCTAATTTATAACTTGACAGGCCTTAGATGTAGACTAGGAACAAAATTAACCCAAAACTTTAATTTGGTAGGTAACGGTCGTAATAAGAATGTTTCTTTTTAATCGTGAGTATAGTCCACACATATTTTGAGGCTCTGTTGACTTGGTCTAAACTGACAACCATAAAACATACATAGTCTAATCAGATCATTACCAATCCTACATGAAAATCTCATATCATCTACCAGCTATGATTAACTTGAATTTTTGGACTAAATAAGTCATTGTATTCAGTTGTTTGGAGAAATAGAAAGAAAACTTGGAAAATTGATTAGCGGGTCTTAAAAAGAAACTACGAACTAACTCAACCTATTAGGTTTGCTACTAACCTTCAATTTTAGTCCATACATGAATATTCAAACAAATATCTCGCATCTTTTCACTACTATTTAGCGACGCTACTGAAAATTACGTACCAGTGCAAACGCCTATAGTTGGGTAAGAACAATTTCCCTCTTTTTTGTACAAGATATATAACATGTTTTTGCAATGAGAAGTACTTCACACCTTTTTAGATTATCAATTATGAAAACAAAACTCCAGATTGCACCATATATGTTAACATTTCGAGGCACATATATATCTAAATCTAACTAACATATACATTTTTCTAATAATTAATTAAGTAAATCCTCAATTAATCCTGCTTATTAATTAGGTGGAGATGATCAACAAGGAGCGCATGACCATCGGCCAAACGAACGAGCGCCACCAAATCCTCGGCCGAGTCCAACTCTTCACCGAATCCCCTCTCCAAATCCAGTCCTCCACCGTCAACGCCATCGGCGGCGCCACATTCCAAAAGACGAGGTTAACTCACCAGCTTCAGATGCTCCTCAACCTCAACGACAACCAGGTCGTCACCTCCAGCGCCCTCACCGATCGCCAGGACGCCGAGGGCTCTGCGCTTATGCACGACAGCTCTCCCGTCTGGGGCAGCGGCAGCACGAAATCTTACTACAAGTATCGGGCCGACGGAACGTGTTACCTGAGGACGGTGAATACAGCCGGAGGAGTCGTGACGACGGATAATGCGAGCCCGTCGTGCTCCGCCGTGGCTGAGATTTAGGTAGGAATTTTTTTTTATCCTTTTTCTTTTGAGGTTGAAGATGTACGTTAGTTTTGGTTTTGTAGTTTTGTGGAGTATATTTGTGTTGGGAAGAATAACAAGGGGGATGGGTACTACGGAGTTGCTCCTCATGCTTTTGCTTTGAAAGTTTTGGAGGGGTGAGTTTTGTGTTTTTGGGGTATTAATAAGGTTGGAGATGTATTTGTGTATTAGATACTTGCTTATTCAGATGATATTCTGCTAAAATTTTCTAAACGTAGATACTAGTTGCCGTCTTATTTAATGTAAAGGAAAATACTAGAGTCACACCCCCAACCACACTCCTCTCTCGTTACAGTGCACTGGGGCCCACATGAAGCCCCAGTGCACTGTAGCGAAAGAGGAGTGTGGTTGGGGTAATGGTTGGAGGTGTGACTGTAGCGTCTCCCTAATGTAAATGTGCTATCATAAGACCCAATTGCACGTTCCTATTGACTAGTAGGACGGACATATACTCCGCTAGTCTATCACTTAGTAGCTCACTTAGCAAGTTATAATTCACACATAATTTTCACAAAATTGATATCAATATATCATTTTCACCATAACCTAACATCTATATATCATAAACAACAGTCGATCTGACATTTCTTAATACACATGGCATGTGTGTTGAGCATTCATGTGTGAGTATAGTCTCGCATCGGATAGGATAAAAAGATGTATGAGTTTAAAATAAAAGTTAGGATCAATATCTAATGCTTTTAACTTTTGCGTTAAAATTGATTCCTTGTATCGCCTCTGTCACAGGTTAGAGCTAATTGATAGTTAAGCTTTGGCTCCGTTATGGGCCATTTGTTCAAAACTAGAGGGCCAATTTTGTAGCTGACATTAATAAAAAATTAAATACCAAGATAGAAGTTTCGATTTTTAGCCTTGAGAAATCCTTTAAGAACTCTCATTAAATTTCTCTCAATTTTGATTTTTTTTTCAACTAATTAGTTTTCTAATTAGATAGGTCGTATCTTTTCGGATATCAAAATTTTAAGTTAGAATTTTATTGATCGTAGAAAATGTGTGTTTATCTTATGTCCTGAACCTAGCCTTATGAACATCTTTTAATTAAATCATCTAATTTTCGTTTGCAATATTAAATAAATAAGGGGGTAGAACACAAGATAAAAGTTCCAGCTCTACCACTACTACTGAACTTTGTTTAAAGCCAATTTGATAGATCTACATCATAAACTTGAGATCTAAAACCATATAGCCATGATTAATTCAAAGAGATTAACAAGGATCTAAAAGAGCGGAAGCTTATACCTGAATCCATTGCTTGATCTTGATTTTGGGTTTTGGATCTTCTAACCTTAGGGTTTCTCTAAAACCGAATTTCTCTCTTAGATGGAGGTGAAGAGAATTAGAGAATGTAGTAACCCTAGATTAGGGACCATAACCCCTTATTTATAGATGTTGTACTTTTGTAATTTAGCCCCTCAATAAATTACAATTACAACCTGGTATCTGCACATATAACCCCATGACTTATTTAAATACCAAATTAACCCAACTTAATTGATCACTTTAGTGGGTTATCCTGAAAGATAGCAATACACATTGATTAATCATATGTGCCCACAAATAGATTTATTAGATTAAATCCAACAATCTCCCACTTGGGCACCATATGATTCCTTAAACTGTGTATAACCTTATGAGCTCAAAAATTGCTATCACTGAAATGGTATTTCCGAACAATCTCGTCCATTGACTATATCAATATAGGATCAAAGCGGCCTTCGTCACATTTATCGTGGCTCGACCCATCAATGGTCACATATACCAATACAATCAAATGACATAGATCAATCATGGATGTGCAGCATGAAAATTACATGCAATGTGATCAGTACATGTCTATTTTCAACTGGTCCTCCTTAGTGAGGTCAAAACCAAACATAATGTAACAGAGTGTCTTAACTGAAAACTTTATTCTGATCAGACAATACAAACAAACATAAAGCACCACAAATACAAACTCCCACTAAAACATAATATCCTCAAATAATACCACACCCATATGAGCAGTATGCTCATGAAAGACCTTAGGTGGTAATCCCTTAGTAAGAGGATCAGCTATCATGGAGTTTGTCCCAATGTGCTCTATGGATATCTGTCCACTCTGTACCCTTTCTTTCACAACCAGGAACTTAATGTCAATATGTTTTGACTTAGTTGAGCTCCTGTTGTTATTGGAATACATTACTGCAGATTTATTGTCACAATATAACCTTAGTGGTCTTTCAACATTTTCCAAAATGCGCAGTCCCGTGACAAAATTTCGCAGCCATATTCCCTGATTGGATGCCTCATAGCAAGCTACAAATTCTGCTGCCATAGTGGAGGAAGCTACTAGTGTTTGTTTGACACTTTTCCATGATATAGCTCCTCCTGCTAACATATAAATGTAGCCTGATGTAGACTTCCTGCTATCTTGGCATCCAGCAAAATCAGAGTCCGAATACCCAATGACCTCTAATTTCTCTGATTTTCTGTATGTGAGCATGTAATCTTTTGTTTTCTGAAGATACCTCATAACCCTTTTGACTGCTATCCAATGATCCATACCAGGGTTGCTTAAGTATCTGCCTAACATCCCAACAATGTACGCAATATCCGGACGCGTACATACCTGAGCATACATTAGACTTCCTACAGCCGAAGCATAAGGAATCTTCTGCATTTCCTGAATTTCAAGGTTACCTTTAGGGCACTGATTGAGACTAAACTTGTCTCCTTTAGCAACAGGGGTGTCACCTGGTCTGCAATCTTGCATGCCAAACCTTTTAAGTACCTTATCGATATAGCTCTTTTGTGATAATCCAAGAATACCCCGAGAGCGATCTCGATGTATCTGGATCCCTAATATAAAAGAGGCGTCCCCAAGATCTTTCATCTCAAAATTCTTTGATAGAAATCTCTTGGTTTCGTGCAACATGCCTATATCATTAGTGGCAAGCAAGATGTCATCCACATACAGAACCAGAAAAATATACTTACTCCCACTGAACTTGTGATATACACAGTCATCAACAATGTTCATCTCAAAACCGAACGAGATAACTATTTGTTGAAACTTATGATACCATTGACGAGGAGCTTGCTTGAGTCCATAGATGGATTTCCTTAATTTGCAAACCATATTCTTTGGGTCTCCTGACACAAAGTTTTCTGGTTGCACCATATAAATCATCTCATCAATGTCTCCATTGAGAAATGCAGTCTTAACATCCATCTGATGTAACTCAAGATCATAATGAGCAACAAGTGCCATGATTATTCTGAAAGAGTCTTTCGATGAAACCGGAGAGAAAGTCTCTGTATAATCAATGCCTTCCTTTTGAGTATAGCCTTTAGCCACAAGACGCGCCTTATACCTCTCCACATTACCGTTTGCATCCCGCTTGGTTTTAAAAATCCATTTACAACCAATTGGTTTTGCACCTTCTGGCAATGGGACAAGTTCCCAAACCTTATTGTCTTGCATAGACTTATACTCTTCATTCATGGCATCAATCCACTGTTGAGAGTTAGAACTTTTCATGGCCTGAGAGAAGTTGATTGGATCATCTTCTAACATTCCACTACTTTCCTCATGTTCTTGGAGAAATACAATATAATCATCCGGAATAGCATTTCTCCTTTCTCTCGTGGATCTCCTTAATGGCACTGGTTCTTGAGGTTGTTGAGTTTGTTCTTCTGGAACAGGGAGTTGTTCAACATTATCATCTTGAGGTTCCGGATTTACTTCTTGAGCAACAACAGGTATAGGAACCTGAATATTGTCAAAAGTAACTGTATGGATTGGATCTGAAGCCAATTCCTCCTCAAAACTAATGTCTCTAACCTTATTTCTCCCCCCAAACTCAACATCCTCAAAGAATGTTGCTGTTCCCGTCTCAAAAATATTCCTTATAGTGGGATCATAAAACTTATAGCCCCTAGAGCGATCAGGGTACCCAATAAAGTAGCTGCTAACTGTTTTGGAGTCCAATTTCTTTTCATTTGGCCTATAAGGCCTTGCCTCAGCTGGACATCCCCAAATATGTAAATGCTTTAAACTGGGCTTTCGACCAGTCCAAAGCTCATAAGGTGTTTTAGCAACTGCTTTACTTGGTACTCTATTCAGAATGTAAGCTGCTGTCTTAAGTGCTTCTCCCCAGAGTGACTCTGGTAAAGAAGAATGAGCAATCATACTTCTTACCATATCCTTAAGAGTCCTGTTTCGTCTTTCAGCTACACCATTCATGCTAGGTGAACCCGGCATAGTGTACTGTGGGACGATACCGCATTCCTCTAGGTATCTAGCAAATGGTCCTGGACGTTGTTCACCTGAACCATCATATCTACCGTAGTACTCACCACCACGATCAGATCTGACGGTTTTAATTCTTCTGTTGAGTTGATTCTCAACTTCAGCTTTATAGGCTTTGAACATGTCCAGAGACTCAGATTTTTCATGAATAAGATATAGGTGCCCATAACGTGAGTAATCGTCTATGAATGATATAAAATATTGTTGACCATTCCAGGATTCCGTAGGGAATGGCCCACAAATATCCGTATGTATCAATTCTAAGACATCCGAAGATCTGTTGGCACCTAATCTCTTCACTTTGGTCTGTTTTCCCTTGATACATTCAACACATACGTCGAAGTCCGAAAAATCAAGGGAATCCAAAATGCCATCAGACACAAGACGCTCAACTCTACCTTTTGAGATATGACCTAAGCGCTTATGCCATAATGTCGCCGAATTTTCCTTATTTAATTTACGCTTAGTACCACGTGATTCCACATGCAAGGATTCATTGTAAGAAGCAATTGTATCAAGCAAATATAGGTTGTCATAAATACTCAAGTAACCGGTTCCCACAACATTTGAATTAAAAGATAAACTGAATTGACTGTTTCCAAATGAACAAGAATAACCTGATTTGTCCAATACAGAAACAGAAACCAAATTCCGTCTAAAAGACGGTACTACAAAAGTATCTTTTAAATCCAAATAATAACCAGTTCCTAACAACAACCTAAAGTGCCCAATTGCTTCCACATCTACCGATTGTCCGTCGCCCACAAAGATGTGTCTTTCAACATCACTTGGCTTTCGGTAGCTCAGGCAACCCTGCATAGAAACACTTATGTGAGTAGTAGCACCAGAGTCTAACCACCAAGTGTTTCTAGGTACTGAAGCTAAATTAACCTCAGAACAGACCAAAGCAAGGAACGTACCCTTATTATCACGCCAGGCGTGATATTTTGTACAGTCCTTCTTTACATGTCCAGGCTTCTTACAGAAGAAACAACCCTGATTATCCTTATGTTGTTTCTTCTCAACTGGACCCTTAGCAGCTTCCTTATCATTCTTCCTTTTCTTGCCCTTATCCTTAGAGGCATAGGCCAAATGAGCACTTTCTGTCTTATCTTGCTTCAACCTGTCTTCTTCTTGCACACAGTATGAAATGAGCTCATTTAGAGTCCATTTCTCCTTTTGACAGTTATAACTGACCTTAAATTGGTTAAACTGTGCAGGAAGAGACAACAAAACCAGATGCACTAATAACTCGTCACAAAGATCGAGTTTAAGTGCCTTAAGCTTTGAAGCAATATGAGACATTTCCATAATGTACTCCCTGATATTTCCTTTGCCCTTATACTTCATTGAAATCAAGCGAGCTAAAAGCGTGCTTGTTTCTACCTTATCGTTTTTCGCAAAACGCTTCTCAATTTCGGCAAGGAAATCTTTAGCCTTAGTAATCCCTTCGGATTCTATGCCCCTGAAGGCTTCCGGAACGCCGCGCTTAATGATCATAAGACTCATGCGATTTGAACGCTCCCACTTCTCATGCTCCTTCTTTGCATCAGGAGTGCTATCCGCATTGAGAGGTTGGGGTTGTTCAGTTCTTAATGCATAGTCAAGATCCATGCAGCCAAGAACAATTAATATGTTCTCTTTCCAAACCTTGAAGTTTGTCCCATTTAGCATGGGAATTGAGTTGATGTTAGCAGAAATTGTTGCAGCAGATGCATTAGCTGAAATAAAACAAAAATGCTCACATCAATAACCATAATCAATAAAATTCAAATAATGACAATCCCCATCCAAGATACCGGCACAACATTAATATCAAGTCTTTGGACAGTAATATTAACTTGTAAGTGATACCTTGTTGCAATGATCAAACATTGACAATAACTCATGTCAAATAATGAAACTATCTTTGGATCGATTCATTATTCACATGTAAACCTTATAATTGTCACACGCTTATCATCGCAGATGTGTATACAGTCTAAATAAATATTAACCTTCCTTTGGGCCGATTAAATATTTACACGAAAGCATACACACAAACATCTCACATTCCTCATGAACAATCTACACAAGAGAGGTTACTTTGGCAACTTCTTGTTTCAATTAATCAATTAGAGTGAGAGACAACCTTAATACCTTAGTGTCATAATATTTGAATTAAATAATTGATTAAGAACCGAATTAGATTTTAAAAAAAAAATTAAATCAACTGAATTTCCAAAACTTAATTGGGGTCTCACAGCTTAATTAGGGCCCATAACTTAATTGAATAAATTAAGTATACCAAAGTGGACCCATGAAAAGCCGAGGCTTAACCATAATGAACACGAAGTTCCCTTAACTTCGAACGCAAGGTTCGACTGTATTGAGTACGAGACTCACTTAAGTACGAACGCAAGGTTCGTTTGAAAAATGAACGCAAAGTTCAACCTGAGCACGAACGCAATGTTCGACCTGAGAACGAACGCAAAGTTCGTTAAAAATGAACGCAGAGTTCAACCTGAGTACGGAACGCAAAGTTCGACCTGAGAACGAACGCAAAGTTCGTTTAAAATTGAACGCAGAGTTCATCCTGAGTACGAACGCAATGTTTGACCTGAGAACGAACGCAAAGTTCGTTTGAGGTAACCACCTCCTCAATTTTCGCCATGAACCCTTAGGGTTTCAAATTGAAACCGCCGCCGACAAATCCAAAAATCTTTGATTTTTATTTTTAAAACAGATCCAGAATTGGAAAAAATTGAAGAAAAAATCAAAGAAAAATCCAAAAAATTCCAAAAAGTTACTGTTCATCAGGAAAAAACTTTACTGTTCATCCGAAAAAAAAATTTCGCAACTGTTCGCCGAACATTACTGTTCATCCGAGAACAAAAATTGAATCTTTAACCAGAGATTTAAGATCAAAAAACCCAATAAAACTTAAATCCCTAAGAATTAATCAAGGTGGCTCTGATACCACTTGATAGATCTACATCATAAACTTGAGATCTAAAACCATATAACCATGATTAATTCAAAGAGATAAACAAGGATCTAAAAGAGCGGAAACTTATACCTGAATCCATTGCTTGATCTTGATTTTGGGTTTTGGTTCTTCTAACCTTAGGGTTTCTCTAAAACCGAATTTCTCTCTTAGATGGGGGTGAAGAGAATTAGAGAATGTAGTAACCCTAGATTAGGGACCATAACCCCTTATTTATAGATGTTGTACTTTTGTAATTTAGCCCCTCAATAAATTACAATTACAACCTGGTATCTGCACATATAACCCCATGACTTATTTAAATACCAAATTAACCCAACTTAATTGATCACTTTAGTGGGTTATCCTGAAAGATAGCAATACACATTGATTAATCATATGTGCCCACAAATAGATTTATTAGATTAAATCCAACAATCAATTAACTCTAGAGTCGGCCGATTTTCTTCTCAACAAGGTACAAGTCATTTTGGCTCTCTCTCTCTTTTGGATTGGGATATTTTCCCTTGTTTCTTACAAGAGCAACTATTTTCATTTATGTAACTTTTGTAGGTATTCTATTTTTGTAGTTGGTTTTCATTCCGTTAAATTTTTTTAATGAAACGGGGGGGAGTTATTTTAACTCACCATTATTCTCAAAATAATACACATGACAAGCCCATACACTTACGTGCCACAATAATACATAAAACTTTCACTTATATATAAAAAAGGCAGAAGTAGAATAAAAGATGAAACCATTAATCACCATGGTCTCCTCTATGACATCAACAACGCGATCCTATTATTTCCACCTGCATAATTTCCACATCCTACAGAAGTCTGCTGTGACGCCGCCATAATAATTATTGATCACCAATAATAATCTATTATATTAACTCCGACCCGAGCCGTATTCATCGTCTCCGTTCGGGTCTGGATACAGTTGCGGGTCGGGTGCTAGATGTTTATCCAAAAGCCTCCTCAGTTGATTCCTGGCTCGGTTTTTGTAGACTTGCCGTCTTTGCTCAATTGACTGTAAACAGAACCAATAATTGTAAATTTGATTTAGTGTCGATCTTGGACAGTCAATATGCATGATAACCCAATTACGACATCTAACTACATTTCCAACCTTCAATATATATATATATATATATATATTATATATATATATATATATATATATATATATAAATAAAGAGAGAGAGCCAAAAACTTGTGTCAACTTGAAGTGGATAGCAAAAAGTTATCCCACAAACTTTTAGTCATTGTTGTGTGCCTAGGGATCCATGAAAGATAGAAAGAGTTTTTTATATATATAAATGAGTGGCTTATAAAGTTTGGTGGACATCCATTAAGTGTGACAACGATTAATAACTATATATAGTATATATATATATATATATATATATATATGAAAAATATGGGTATGCTTGGTACCAAGCATAAATTTTGTGCTTGGTAGTGAAATTTGTGTTTGGTAGTGATGTGTCACATCCCCATCCACTTCCTACACATACGAATGTGGTCCCAAATTTGAATGAGTGGAGAGGGATGTGACACCTCACTACCAAGCACAACGTTTTGTGCTTGGTACCAAGCATACCCATATTTCTCTATATATATGTGTGTGTGTGGAGATGTTTCAATAACAATAAAATAAGTCAGAAATAAATGAGTAGCACCAACGTTTAATTTGAAGAGTGTTCCAGCAGCAAGTGTTAGTATTACACCGTGCTGCAAATTAATTGAATTTTGCAATTTTAATTATTTCTAACCTATCACACCTTAGTAATCAATCAAGGATTAGAATCAAATTTTCTCAAACCTAAACTCATCTCCCTCTTATCTTTTTCAATAAGTAGCAGTTCCGATACATAATTATGTCTATAGGTAGGGGCGAAATTAAAAATATATTGAGACGCCCCGCTAGTACGAAAACATGCAATTCTATAGCGGTTCAATTATAGAAGTGAATGTTATGTATTCTTCATGTAAATTAGAGAGAGAGATTATACCTGTCCTATGATCCTCATTTCTAACATTTTGAAGAGATTATACCTGTCCTGTGATCCTCATTTCTAACATTTTGAAGGAGATCGAGTTGAGAAGAGTGGGAGGAAGTTGAGAACTTACGGAGGGGGGGTGGGGGTGCTATAAATAGCAAGCAATCATGGGTGGATGTGAAAGGGATACGGGCCAAACCTTCCTCCAGTGCTTTGAGACCAAGCGCCGCAGCATATATTCTCAGTTTTATTGGGTTCCACAGAAAGGTTTCTTGGAGATTATTTGTCCTATTTCATATATTACCGAAAGTTATTCGAGAACATTCATAGAGTAATCAAATTCGTCTACTTCTATTCCTTATAAAGTTTTGTTAAGTTGTCCACTCCTTCAAAATAATGTAAAGGCTAGCTCACTTTCCTCACAAGTCATTTGCAGTTCTGGAGTATTTCTTTGTCGACCGTCAAGCCCTGAATATTAATAGCAAGGGCTTNCCATCTATTTTTTAAAATAGAGTGATTGTACGAAAACCACTTTCAAAACTCAGTTTATATAGAAACCACCTTTAAAGGTAGTTCCACCTTCAATCAATCACCTTGACCTATTTTATGATGAGATGTGGAATAAAATTCCCAGAATACCCTTAAAAAGACACGTTTAGATTAAGAAGGCATGGTACGCGTGTTTTAAAATGATATTTTGGGAATTTTAGTTAAAATTTCATCAAATATAGATCAAGATGGTTAATTGCATTCGGAAACCCCTTTAAAAGGTGGTTTCTATATGAATTGAACTTTTAAGATGTTTTTGTTGGAAATAATAGCTATTTAGACAATAACAAAAATCAGTTTAAGCAATTTAATAATTAACAGATAATCACTATTATAACACAGAT